ATATGTAAAAAAAAAAAAAAAAAAAAAGCCTACTCATCATATAAATCGATCATGTCTTTTCAGAAGACTTAATTAAACCGCTAAATTCATATGGATTACTTCTGAGATGTGTTTATGAACTTCTTGAAGTGTGAAAGTTTGCTTACATGGACCTTTAATGGAAGAGACAGAAATCTCTCTGGTTGCATTCAAATTATCTTCATTTGTGCTTCAAAGATTAAGGAAGTCTTGTGGTTAGTGTATATTTTCATGTCTTAATCTTTCAAACCTTCCTGTTTATTATTTCCATTGCAGGTGCCTTACTCTAACAAAATGTAATTAACCTGGAAAATGCTGCTGTAAAAAAAAGTCTGAATCTCTTCTGAAGGAAAACATCATCCTGTCTTGTGTGTTTTGAAATCGCTGGACTGCCCTGTGCTTTCTCTGGGTTCAGTGCCAATGAGGTCACATTACAAGCCAGTCGTGAAAGCTGTGTGTTTCTCTTGCATCTGCTAATTTAAAAGCTGAGTGGTCTGGGAGGCTTTTAACAGGCTGCTATATTAACATGAACGGAGGCTGAGGTGCCTTCACGACAATCAGAGCAATTAAAACTGCAGCCCAGCAGCTTCACTCCTGAGAGATACTCTCTGATGCGATTCACGACACCTACAACACAGCGAACAAGACCAACCGAATATGCTGATCTGAGACTTTCTGTAAAATCGTATGATATTTAGCATTCCATCTCGGGGACGCTGAGAAGCAAAGCTTCCTGTTATTTCAACATCTCAAAGGATTTTACTCACTCCTGGGTTTAGTGGTACCTTAATGCAACCATTTTGTTCCTCAACTCGCTAAAGTGCTTTCTGAAAGAGGGAGAGGAAAGATCTTACTTAAACAAGAGTATCTAAGCATGCAAAAACGACTGAATGATTAAAATATGAGACAGGGAGAGGTCAGAAAGAGCAGCGATCGCTTGAGATGGAATTGTAGTAAGTGACAGGGTCAGCCAGTTCCAATACCAACTCGAATTAGATTCAGCAATTTAGCAAGGTCGTCACTGAGTACTCATGCATATCTTGGTTTGAGAGAGACGGTACCTGCAGGAGGAACTTGGCCTCTTCTGTCCTGCCCGTGTCCAAGTAAATCAGGAAGAGGTCTGTAGCGGCTCTGTAGGAGGCAAAGTGATTGCAGAGCCTTTCCGCCATGGCACTCACTGGACGTAGAGAGAGATGTCAATCAATCACATGCTTCGACGGTGATTACTATGTTACAACACATCAGTGGGTGCTGTAATGTTTCTCCAATCCAGAAACTCGCAAACAAGGGCTAGAAGTCCGTTCAGAAGTACTCAAAGAACACAGTTGTGCATCAGTGGCTATCAACCTTTTTGACTTCAAAAAGCCCATCCGAAGACTCCTCTGCCATGGAAGTACTATTCCTATGTACTATTGGATTTTAAATATAAACCCTTGTAATCTTTAATCAAAAACATTAATGTGCCACCACTCCCTTGACTAACATGAAACAATTTAGTTTGCAACGCTCACGTTCTGCGATCAAATGGATGGACAAAAACAGGTAGTTATACGCTTTTACTCTCATTCAATAGCCATTTTACTCTGATATGTCAGAACAGGTTCCAACTTCCATTTCATGACGACTTTAACAAACTAGGAGTGTTAACATTAAAATAACTAACCAACTGCATTTGAAATAATATTAAAATAAAGAACTAACCGTATGTTCTTCAAAAACAATTGCTGTTGATGGGACAGATTGAAATGAGAAATATGTCGGCTTACTTTAACATGACTTTTTAAATGACTTATTTTAAGCACTTTCTTAAATATTTTACTATCATCTTGCAGCCCCTTTCTCTGTCAGAAAAAAAAAAAATGCAAAAATTTTACCTTTTGGGATACAACAGCCACTGGTGCAATGGGGGCAACTTTGTATTGACCTCTAAAAAAAGTGCACATTACTAACGTAAAGCAGTAATAAGCTACTCCTATGGGGTAAATAAAGTACAAAAATGTCACTTTGAGACTGCCCCAGGATGTCCCGCTAAAAGCACAATTATTGCAGGTTTTTTTTTTGGAGGTGTTGGAAGTTTGCCGAGCATCTCTGGTTGAGAACCATTGATACTGATGAAGAGGTGGTGTGTGGGTCTTACATTTATCTAGTACAGCATCGTTGTTGGCATCTAGAACTTTGCGGAAGACAAAAGAAATACTGGATTTCTGATTCTCTGTGTTCTGGATGTAAAAGGACTCCAACAGCTCCACCGCACTGTCAATGTCCTCACTGCAGAGGGAGAAAAGAGAGTTCATACTTGGTGTTAGTGACTTGAACAAACTCCTTTATAGAGCCAGAAACACTCCACTAACTTTGTTAGGGATCCAATATAAAAATAAGGCATGCCTTTGAAAAAAAAAAAATCTGAGGAAATTCTGTTATGAAAACCAATGCCTTAACCTCAAGTATTCAACTCATACAACACATTTGTGCTATGGACATGAATGATTAATAATTCCCATGGCTGGTGTGACAATTTTCCAAGTGATCAGTATAAGAATTTTCACCTGGTTTACAGAATAAAGCAATGGGTTAAAAAAAACAACTGCATTTGCTTAGACTTTTACTGAAGGAGGGTATCAAAGCCATATTTAAAGACCAAAATATATTATAGGCGGCCCTTTTTTGCATCCGAAAAAGATATCTTTGGTTCAAAGAGTATAACTAAAGAGAGGCAGGTGGAAAATAGCAAGCCATGTGAAAATTTCCATTCCATTTCTGCGTCTCTTCAATCCCCGACCTTCATTTACACAACAGTAAGTGCATAAAACTTTCATCGGCCACATTAATATTCCCGACCTAGCCATAGATTGTCATTCCTCGCCATTCCCAAAGTCTTAAGACAGTATAGGACAGCGGAAGAGCAAAGCATTCCTCGCGGCTGATTGGGCGGCTTCCCATTTGCACTGCTTCGTCCTGTCGGGGTGAACTCTGACCCCCGGTTGGACCTAAGCGACAGTGACACGTGTGCTGTGTGCGGCTGAGCCAAACTGACTGGTTAAGAGGCGAGGCGGGGCTCTGGAAACTGGGCAACACATTAGTGCGGCCCACTGTGAATTATTCAGACTATAGTCCTAGCCATCACAGCAGATTTGAGCCTTTAATAATAATGGGTGGAGAGGGGTGAAGGGGATGGATTAAAGGTAAGATTAAAGAACAGAAGATGAAATTGAGGTGTGAGAAAAGGCCACATGAGCGGACGGTCCTTTGTAGGAACAACAAACCTGCGATGACACCAATTTTTAGTCAAGGTCAAACCACAGAGAGGGCACATATTTCATGTTATTTACAGAAACAAGGGTGCTTCATTGTTCTTTTCATGAATTTGTTTTCACAAAAATAACCAAGAAAAGTTTGTGCGGGTGGAATCTAATCTCACCCGCCAGACAGTCTGCTAGTGCTCCCTTTGTTAGAAACACTGAGCATGTGATTCAGAGTTTCTGAGATAATAATACATCTATAATCAAGTCTTTGTCATAGTCAATCACAGTCTTAACCTCTGTGTCATCTGCTTCCTCCAGCTGCCAGGTATGTGGTGCATATTTTAGCTGCATTTCATTTAACTGTGCATCCACTTTAAAAACATCTGAATGACTGCTCATCTCGAGTATTGTGAGCAGCTCTAGTAGCTGAGCCAATGAGATCTTTTGAGTCTTGTAGCTACACACTAGATTTTGGTGCATTGCATTGATGCCATAATGTTAGGGTGTTATGGGGGGTTGCCAGTGTGTTCTAGGTGGTTGCTTCCACAAGTATCTATTGATATTCTGGTTATTACATATGATTTATGTCCCAATGTATGTCGTTCCAATGCCTTTTGACCAATGAGCTGCCATGATTTTTCAGCTGACTTTTTCAATTGTTCATAATTACAGGATTAAAAAATAATTTATTTTAACAAAAAACTTTTTTTTTAATAGATTTTTGTGACATTATTATTATTATTATAAATCAAATGAGATATTTAATTCATAATAAATGAATTTATAATAAATTAGCTTACTGTTTTCACTACAAGCGTAACTAGAAAAAAAAACAATTTTTTTTCCATTTCCATGTTTCAAGATTTCCAAAGAAAATCTGCCTGAAAATCTGAGTTTAAAAACTTTCTGGCTTTTCTATGGCTGCATAATTCACTACCGTTCATAGGTTTGGGGTCAGGTTTTTTTCTTTTGAAATTAAAGAAATTAACATTTAAAAATACTTAAAAAAATAATAATAACAATGCTGTTATTTTGAACTTTCTATTCAACAAAGAATTTCATAGAGAATCATAGTTTGTGCAAAAATATTACACAGCATAACTGTTTTCAACATTGATAATATTCGTTATTTCTTTAGCACCAAATCTGCATATGAGAATAATTTCTGAAGGATCATGTGACACTGGTGTAATGGCTGCTAAAAATTCAACTTTGCCATCAGATGAATACATTTTTTACAAAATTTTCAAATAGAAAAACGTTATTTTGAAATGTAATATTTCACAGTATTACTGTTTTTAATCAAATAAATGCGGCACGAGAGACTACAAAAAACATTAAAACAATCTTACCGACCCCAAACTTTTGAACAGCAGAGTAAGTCTACTGGATTTGCAGTTTTGTTTAGTAAGGAGTTCATAAAATCCGGCCGCCCGATTGAGCATCAGCCACCGCTCCTTATCTCAACGGCGACCGGCCAACAGCCGCTCACACGGCAGATTGGCCCAGAGACCAGAGTCAGAGTTACTCTTATCAATCCCAAGAAAATCCTTGTGTCCTTCTCCTTACTCTCGTCTAGTGCTTTAAGTGCTGGACAATCCCATCCCTTGCTTCTCTCTTCCATTCCCAATCCCCTTAATCTGTCCTTAAAGCACCCCGCTGGCCAAGACCAACGTCCTGCCAAACAGCTGCATGAAGTCCCC